GGGAGACTGTAACAGGAGTGAAGGGTGTTGGGGGCAGCCACTCGCAGGCTGCTCTGGAGATGGACGCTGTCCTCACCTTCTGTTTCCTGAGTGTTCCTCCCCACAGGCATTTTTCTGTGGATCACATCCCTTCCAGAGCAGGATATGCCTCTTCCCTGGCATGGTGTCACCCACAGATTGAGGTTCTGTGAAAGGGTTTCAGCCCCAAGGTGCATTGGAAGCTGTTGTTGGGGATGTGAGTGAGGATGAAACCAGACAGGTTCTCTGTCCACCTCAGGCAACAAGGATGTCCTGTGGGATAGAGGACTGAGATTTTTGCGTGTCTTGCACTGTTGGCTTAGCTCTGGTTGCACTTGTGTTCAGTTTGTACACCTTGCTGCTGCCAGGGGTGCTGGGGTGGCAGGACAAGGGAAAGCTCTTACAAGGACACAACGTGACACACCCCACGTCTGGGCAGCTCTGGGTGCTGCAGAATTGGCCTCTTGCTCTCCAGGCTTTCGAAGGTAGCAGGTGGGATTTGGGGAGCAGTATGTTCTTGCCCTGTGGAAGAACAGATATCTCTGGCATTTCAGAGTGAGGGACTGAAATTTCTGATGGGTCCTTTTGTGTCCTACCCTTGTGGACAGGACAGGCTCATTGGGCATTTCCAGAAGGTGCTTTCTGAGGTCAGTGATGCTTTTGAACCTTTTATTTGATTCCTTAATCTTGGGTTTTTAATGGCTTGGGGAGCCTGCTTTGCCCTGCTTGGCAGGTCTGCTCTGTGCAGAGACTGCACAGGTTCTTTTGGGCAGGGCAGTGGTGATATGGTCTGCTGAGCCTTCTGCTGGAGGGGAGCGAGGGGTTATGAGGTGAGAACTGGATCCTAGTGCCTGTTGCAGCTCACAGTATATGGGCTGCTACACCAACTCTGATTTCATGAAACCCTTTCCCAGCACAAGTGCAACCTACTTGGCCAAAGGACTGGGTATTCCCCCCACGCAGGGGAAGACACGGTCCCATGCCCCGTGGCACGCCGCTGGGCAGGACATGTTGTCTAGCTGCAATACTCCTGTTTCTGCGTGCAGTCCCTCGGGCAGGGCTGCCTGCTGTCTGCTCTTGGCTGTGGCAGCTCAGCTGTAGTTGGGATGTTGTCTGGTCCCTCAGTTCACGCGTTTCCGGTTGACCTGAGCTGATGCTCTGGGACTGTATAGTGTTGCCTAGCAGCGGCAGTGTGGGAGATGGTGTATAAGCACATCACTTCTTTATCTTTATTGAGGCTGTTGCATCAAAAAAAGGCTTTGTAAGGGAAATTAGTGTGTGGGTTCTTCCTCGAGTCTCACGCTGGTGTGACAGGAGTGATTGGGCTGGGTTCCAGTGTCAGGAGCTGCACACAGCCTGGGCAGCTCTCGGTGCTGGAGTGTGTTACTGCTGCAGAGGTGGGGTGGCCTGACCGACTGCAATAACTTTGTTTACTGGGGGGTGAGGGGAGAACCATCACTGTGCTCCTCTTTGTATTTCAACCTACTGTAAAGAAAACAAAAGGTAGCTAGGACAGGATTTCCAGGGTCCTGCCTATCAAATGTGTGTTGCCCTGCTGTACTCTCTGTGTGTGTGTGTGTGTATGTGTGAGAGAAACACTTCTGCTCGTTGCATTTCATGTTGGTTTGTGTTTTGTTCAAACTTCATACAAGCAAATTCATTGGGAAACTCTGTACACCTGAGGGCTTGTGTCTCCACAGAGTTTCTCCCCTGTGGAAAGCTGTCATTGCTTTGAAATGTGTCTTCCATGCAAGAAACATCCTGACTTCTCAGTCTTGTTCTCCCAAAGGGAGTCCAGCAGTGGCAGGCTGGGCCTGCCTATGGGCAGCTGTGTGCCCAGGGGGTGGCTGTGGTGTGTCCTGGCCCTGGAGGCAAGGGTTGGCACATGAATTTGGTGGCACAGCTCTGGTCAGGCTGTTGTGCCTCTGTTTCTTATGTTGTGTGGAGCCACTTTGTGCGGCTGTTTCTGCCCCTGACTGAAGGAGAAACAGGTTTCTGGCTCTAAGGAAAATGAGTGTCAAAGTATGCAGGTGGCTTGGACTGTTTTGGGAAGGGGCTTTGCACCTAGTGATGTGAATGAGTGACTGATCTCAGGTCTCCCAGCTTCTCCTACTAGGAGCAAGTCCTGCTGGCCAGAGGGATCCCTGCTGCAGGGCCAGGGAGAGCTGCTGGGGCAGTAATGGGCCTGTGCCTGCAGAGCTGAGCCAGCCTGTGGGGTTGGGTGGTTGTGTGCAAGTTGGTGAGTGCAGAAGGATGGCTTAGAGCAGAGACAGCACTGCTCTGCATTCAGCTTTTGAGTTTTGGCAAGGAAGGTCCATCTCCAATGAGAAACGCAGTGGGGTTGTCTCCCAAGTCAGGCTTGCTTTGGAGCTGTGTGCTCTGACAGCGAAGGCAGGGCCTGGGGTGGGCAGCATCTGAGTGGCTCTCCAGCCGGGAGGTGCGTTGAAGGCAGTGTCCCCTGATGTCCCTGTCCCTTTGTGTCCCAGAGCTTGCCCCTGCTCCCTACAGATCCCATCTCTCCTGCTGCCCTGGCTGTGGCTTCTCAAAGCAGCTGGATTCTTTTTCAGC